CGGGCGTTGTGTCATCGCCGTTTTAATAATCCGGCAGTGGACCCAGGTCATTAATTGGCCTCGACGTAAGGTTCATGCGAATGTCTAAGAGGCCAGCTAAGTACCGACGGTCGCGTGCCAGGGACCCAAAGGCGCCATATATAGGTTCATGATACCTTGGGGACGATCGGCCACCTACCATGTACACAGGTACCGAGAGGGCTGTGTCGCAGCCACCAGGTCTCAAAACAGCTGCTGGAGGGCGCCTCGTAATCGCCTAGTACTTAGTAATGGCTGGTACCTTGCCGGGTATTATGCAAGAACGTTCTGGCTATGCGCGCAGTCTTCGCATTGGCCCCTAACAGTGATATCAAGTTGGGATTGCACGGTGGACGGACGGATGGTTGGTATGTACCAAGTACCCCTGAGAGTTGCACCCTGATTTCGATCCCCCCCTTTCGCTCGCTCCTTCGCCTGGGGACGGAAGCAGCGCATTCTGATGTCAAGCCAAGGTTACAGCACATACGAACACGGACGAAAAAACATCGTCGATCACATTCACTGCAGAACTTACTCCTGAGCGAAATTGCCAGGCCCTGTTGATGTAATCCCTGCCGACATCGTCCAATGCTCCACGTAATACCTTGGCCGTGCCTGGCTACGTACTATGTATCTCGCTGCCATTAATAGGTAGGTTGGTAGGAGTCACCAAGAACAGCTCAGCGCCGCTAACGGCGAGGCCAGCGAGGTATGACTGAGCGATCGAGTCACCAGGACAGCAAGAGCCCAAGCCGCGCCAACGTGAGGATCCGTGCCTGAGGCACCAAGACTAGATACGTACTATGGCAGACTACTGTGCAGGCTAGCAGGGTTGCGACCAGGCCTGGAAAGGTAGGGGTGGTACTCGAGGTTCTAGGCACCGCGACTGGCATTTGGCGGTACCTGCGATGCGGTGTGGGCCCCCTGAGATGCCATGTTATCATGTTGCTGCCCCCGTCTCGACCAGCTCCGAGACCAATCCCGTCATCCAGTCCCCGGTAGCCTCAGCCCACCCACACCCCCCGGGTTTCGTCTCTCCTGGAACTGAAATGACCCAGCAGAGTCCAGCAGGTTCCCTCAGTGTCTTTGGGCATCTGTCCTCGCACTCCCTGGTCCCCACCCCCTCCACCTGACGCTCATACCGCCCACCATTCTTCATCACCGCCATTCCCTCGTCACCTTCTCCCCAGTCCCTTTATTATCATCTCTCCAACCTTCCTTCTTCTCAGCGTCCTCTCTTTTGCCTTATTCGCCATCCTCGCTTCACCTCGCCACGCCATCGGCGCCCGCCTTCTTTCTTCTCGAGCTTGCACTACCTCTACACATCTTTCACTTTCCAACTAGTTCTACCCGCCGCTCCGCCCCCCAACAGAAACTCCCGGATTCACCTTGCAAGCCAAAGCCATCGCTTTATCGACTGACACATCGCCTCCTATCCTGTCAGTAATCGAGAGAAAGAAGGGTTCTAGGCCCGACACCGTTACACACATACGCACACCACTCGCCTCTCCTACCAACCATTGTTCGTGGCCACGACTCGTCGACTTACAACTGACGACCGTGTGATTCATACCGACCGATCTCGGCTCCGAGCGCTTATCACACTATAGCAAAGAAAGCATTCTCCTGGCATACTTTGACCTTAACTTGGGTCGTCGGGGTTCCCCCCATATCGACAACTGAAATTGAAAGCCCAAACCCGTTAACGGTTACCGGTCTTCGCCCGGCGCCACCGGCACTAGACGAAGCTGGACCGCAGCCCGACTCTTGACAGCGACGAGGTATCTCATCCTGCCATTTCCAACTAGCAGATAGATTTCGCCCTTCGAATCGTTTGGTGATCTCGCACGCTTCTGGTTCTTGGTGCCTGTTCGGCCCTTCAACCCATCATATACGGCATCGCTGTCTGAGTCGCTCTTTCATTGTCACATTGACAACAACCCCCATGTCATCATAACGAATCTTTCTTTGTTCTTGCTCGCCTTTTGAGCCCTTCGGCTCGGTACGTTTCCACTACGACTCGATAATACGCCAAATTTCTTTTGTTCAGCATATCAATTCTATCAAATGAGCCTCTGATTTCCCCACGACCCGACAAACGCACATATACCTACAATCGACATTCGACTTGCTTTTCCTTTTCTCGAAAAATCATCAACTCTACTTACACCAAACTGTATATTTTTTTTACGACCATTCTTCTCTTCCAACACTTCTTTTCATTTCACACCCTTTTTATTTGTATTCAAGGTTCTTAACTGGCCCCAAAAAAACCTCTTTTAACTTTTAACGACTTCGGATCTGTTTTATTCCCTTTTATTTTTTTCCTTCTTCAACGATAGAAGGCGTGCTCTTGGCTTGCAGTTGTTTGGCCTTTGTACGAGTACTTCACGTTTCTATCATCAATTGTCCGATTCCTGTTCAGAATGGAGTGTATGCGAGAGAAGTTTTCCGGTGGTGCTCTTCTCAATGGCCGCTACCAAACAATTTCGCCCCTGAACCATGGCTCCTTCGGTATGGTGTTTGTCGCGCAGGATCTTGTCACCAATGAGTCCGTCGCAATCAAGTGCATGACCAAGCGGTCAGCTTCCTTCGACGGCACTGCGGATCTGGCTGTGGATGAGAAGTCCGAAGAGTACGCTCTTCACACCCTTCTTGGCCAGCATCCTCACATTGTCAATATCCTCGACACCTTTGAGACCGACGCTCACGTTTACCTCGTTTTGGAGTATTGTTCGCAGGGAGACCTTTACGAAGCAATTCGCAATGGTCAAGGCCCTCTGGAGACCGAGCATGTCCGCCAATTCATGCTCGAGCTTGTTGATGCTGTTTCCTACATGCACTCCAAGGGTGTTTACCATCGTGACATCAAGCCAGAGAACATTTTCCTGACACAGGCAGGTACGATGAAGCTTGGTGATTTCGGATTGGCCACCACGGACAAGTGGTCATACGAGATGACTGTTGGTAGCGATCGTTACATGGCCCCGGAACAATTCGATTCAGCTGGGGCTGGTTACTCACCCGCTGAGGCAGACATCTGGGCTATTGGAATCTGCCTGCTCAACATTCTGTTCTCCCGCAATCCCTTCACCACACCTACCGAGTCTGACCCGCTCTTCCTTGATTTCTCTCGCGACAAGCAGAGTCTCTTTGATGTCTTTCCATCCATGTCACAGGACACCTATGAGGTGATTGTCCAGTGCATGAATATGGACCCTCGACGCCGATCCCTTATCGGAGCGCGCGATGCTCTCATGCGCGTCGTGAGCTTCACTGCTCAGGATGAGATTTTCGATGACTTCTGCACTGCTGAGAAGGGATGCATTGCTTCTGCGAACCGCGAACCGCTTCGCACTCCCTCGATCCAGAGCCCTCAAGTGGACGACGCTGGCGCTTTCCCCTGGACCAAGGCTCTTCATGTTCCCTCTCGTCATGCTCGTCAACTCAGCGCTATTCCCGATGATGAGAGCTACTCCGAGGACCTGTTTTCCACCTCTGAAGAAACCATTGATTGGTGCTCTGCTGCTACTCAGACCCCTTCAATGTCATCCATGCTCACTTCGAGCCTTGGCCTTTCCATGAAGTCTTTGGCCATTGACCCACAGAAGCGCCGATCCAAGGTATCACCAGCGGCAGGATCGTTACCCATTCAAATGAATAAGCCCCCCATGCTCTCTCTTGCTACCGTCTTTGGCAACCGAGACACTGTCTCTAAGAGCTGGAGTGACATGTGGGACGAAGACGAGGAGGAGGAGGAGCAGGAGCGTGTCAGGCAAGTGCAGGCACTGAAGGAGCTGAATTCGCGAACCTGGAGCCATGAGAGCAAGGGTGAGACGATGAAGGCTGAGGAGGAACACGCAATTGGGCCTCTTGGCATCCAGGGCAATATTGACGACGACGATTTGGCCGACGGCTTTTTCTTCCAAGAGGCGCCAGCTGTTCAGCGTCATGTCCCTGAGATGCCACGTTATTCCCCTCCTTCGAAGCGAAGCGCTCTCGACAAATGGGCAGCTTTGGGCGAACGACGACGTGGACAGAATGCTACATACAACATCAAGCAGGAAAAGGTGCCAGACATGAAGACACCTCGGTATTTTGGATTTGGAATTAAGTCTTATGAAGCGGGCGTTTTGGAACAACATAATTATCATCATCACAATAACAAGCAACAACAACAACCACAATCACATTCGGGGAAGGAGCGGATCAAGGAATGCCCCTGGAACAAGGGCAGAGATTGGAACTGGCGTCGCGATCGACGCACCGATCTTGGAGATGTTGAGTGGGTTGGTGGTTGGTAAGAGGATAGCATGTCATTCTCTCCAATCTTCCAATCATGGCTGAAGGATATTTGCTCATGTTAAGTGGTCTATGCCTGTTGTCATAGGTCACAAGCTTCATGAGTCTAGATTCGTCAGTTTACTTGCTGCGTATTAGAATAGTTCTTGAAAAGCTCTAGATAACAATACCAGAAGTTACCCACTCACAAACTATCTAACCAGTCGCTGTGACCTGACCTAGCATGACCAATTGTTAGATTGTATATGAGTTTCGTTTGGTTTGACTTATGTTCGACTTGCGTCTTAGTCCGACACACGTTTATATGTTGAGTATGGAACATCACAATTGATTTGTGCATATTGTACTTGACCTTAAGGGTTCCAAGGGAGGTCAAAAGTTGGCATATTACTGGCCGCAATGAATATTCCTATACTATGCAACGTACTTCAGAAACAGGAAAAGCCAAGTCGCTCATCAATGCATAACATAACACCAATGGCCAGACCAGAAAACCTGGCCAAGCCTACAGCTGACTGCTGCCATGACAAAACCATACGAGTTTCCCAACGATCAGCAGCTAACACGAGAGATAGCCATAGATGGCTTGTGTGAAATAATGCGTTCGGG